GATAACTGTGGAGTGCATGACAGCTTCAGTGTATTTAAAGACGGCAGATTCATGACAAAAACCTTGGGGCAGTCTGTAGTATCTCTCCAGATGCTCAGACTGCTACTATAGGGATAACAAGGTGTAGAGCTGGATGAACACAGCTTGGCCTGCTGTGTTCATCCAGCTCTACACCTTGTTATCTCAGATTCTCCAGCACCTGCAGTTCCTGCTATCTCTGCTACTATAGGGACATGTGATACCAGATTGAAAAAGGCTTTTTTTAATCTCTCGTTTCAAAAGCCTAGGGTTGGATTGGAGACAAGAACCCCACAGGGCTTCACTGATCTCGTTTGCACTATTAAGCCTGTTTTCCTGTTGCTGAAGGCCCGTATACATTCAATAACTAGCTATATTAACATGACAGAATGGGCACATTTGATGCTACTAACTTTTGGAATGCCAGCTTTTGGCCCGTAGTGCCAAATATACAATGCTTGTGTAATATGACTAAAAGGATGCAAGGCCAGGCCAAGGCCAGACTTCAACAGGTCCGACACAAGACCTAGCTGCTGCTTTACAAGAGTCACATTCATTTGAAGAAACTGGATTTAAATGTTTATACATCACACACTTGCTCTGGAGGACAATGTGGCGTTAGGATGGCTAAGATAACAAGGTGTAGAGCTGGATGAACACAGCAGGCCAAACAGCATCAGTGGAGCAGAAAAGCTGACGTTTCAGGCCTGGACCCTTCTTCAGAAAAGTTAAGATGGCTGAGGTGTGCACACACACTTATTCAGTTTTGCACAAAATCCTATACTCACAGATATGTGTGTACTAACATAAGGACAGGGACAGTCACAAATACCCATATTCAATTTTTGTGTGAAGTTTTGATATTTTCTGTTATCAGAAGGAATGTATGGAAGATACATCAGCCTACACTAAGAAAGATCTGATATAGACATTAGTGATATAGTTTAATAGTTCAGCATTCCTAGAATACCTTTAACATTCCAAAGTGCTTCAGAAAAGCATTATCAAATGGTGGAGAGGCCCTGGGATTGTGGATTCTGATTCTCCATGGCAACTGATGGAATTTACATTCAATGAATTAATCTGGAATGGAAAGATAGTTTCAGTGATGGTAACCATGAAATCAATTGTAAAAACCCATTTGGTTCACTAATGTCCTTTATAATCCTTATCTGGCCTACATGTGACTCCAGGCCCACAGCAATGTGATAACAAGGTGTAGAGCTGGATGAACACAGCAGGCCAAGCAGCATCAGAGGAGCAGGAAGGCTGACGTTTCGGGCCTAGACCCTTCTTCATAAAAGTTAAGATGGCTAAGGTGCACACACACACTTATTCAGTTTTGCACAAAATTCTATACTCACAGATATGTGCGTACTAACATCTTTTTTCTAACTAACTTCTTTTTCTGAAGAAGGGCCTAGGCCCGAAACATCAGCCTTCCTGCTCCTCTGATGCTGCTTGGCCTGCTGTGTTCATCCAGCTCTACACCCTGTTATCTCAGATTCTCCAGCATCTGCAGTTCCTACTATCTCTCCACAGCAATGTAGTTGACTATTAACTGCCCTCTGAAATGGTTTCTGAAGTCATTCTGTTTGTGGATGTTTAGGGATTGGTGACAAATGCTGGCCTTGCCAGTGATTCCCATATCCATATGTTTTTGAAAAATGACACAGAGCCACTGAAGGAGTTAGCAGTACAAATGACCAACCATTTGGTGGAAAAGGTATGTTTTAATGAGCATCTTGAGCAGGATGGAATGAATGGCTAGGGATTGAAGTTTGTGATCAGGACCAAAAACACTGGCTTTATCTTCCCAATATTTAGTTGGAGGAATTTTTTGTTCATCCGTTAGTTGTGTCAAATCTGAGAGTGCAGAGAAGTCAGAAGAGCTGGTGATGAGGTGGACTTGAGTGTTATCAGTGTACATTTGGAAACTAAGGTAATTGTTTCAGATAATATCAATGAGAAACAGCATTCAGATGAGAAATAGTTGTGATCCAAGTGAAGGTCCCTGTGGAATCCTCAAGTACTAGTGAAAAAATGTAAAGAGGAGTTACTGAGAGTGAATCTCAGATCCAACATGACTGATAAGCAGGTAACCACATGAAGGTTTCTGATTTATGTGTTTCATCATGACTCTTGCAGTCAACATTTGGGTGATCTCCTGTTCAATGTGATGTTCCTTTGGTTGGTTCCTTTGCTGTCCCTTCTAGGTCATCCTTCAAGTCCTCCATGCAGGTATATTTCTTTTAAAGACAAAACTGTACAGTAGTCAGAACACCACACCTATCCTTCAGATCTCTGATCAGATAAAAATACAGAAAACACTGTTGTCAATCTGAAGCATGTCTTCATTAAGTAGATGATGTGCTTAATAATGACTCCACTCATCGTGTAACAGTGTTTCACGCAAGTCCTGGGAAAGTGCACAGGAGCACTTTTCTCCCAGGAATCACTTTGAAACCTATTTTGCTGGGTTAAATGGTTCTGAATAGTGAGTTACTCCAAAATATAGGCAGCATAACAAAGGAAGTAAGAGTTTGCTTGAATATTTGGTGTTCTGCTTCTTGTAAATATGGCGCAAAAAGGGACAATGGATTCGTTTAATTTTGCATGTATAATCATTAATCAATTAAGCATTTATAGCATTCCTCAAAATTAAATATACGGCACCCACATTGTTAATGCTAACAATGAACAAACTCGCAGGCGAGATTGATCCCTGGTACAGATGTTGAGGCCATGGTGATTTAAAGAGACACTGACAGAGTAGTGCTTATGATGAAGGTGATTGTGTCAACTTGCAACATGCAACATCATTCCGTTTATACTTCCTTTGGAAAGGAACCTTCTGCAAGCACTACTCCTTAGTCAGATGCTGGAACATTTGCCTCTATATACGCTGATATGAGCATACCACCCTGTGGCTTGCATGCACCTCTTATAAAACCTATAAGTGTATAAGCATCCTTATACACTTGTGACTGTGTGGCCAAATTCCACCCCAACTCCATTTACAAGTTTGCTGACAACATGACTGTTGTAGGTCCGATTCAAACAACGACGAGACAGAATAGAAGAAAGAGATTCAGTGCTTAGCAGCATGCTGTAAGGGCAACAATCTCTCCATCGATGTCAGCAAAGTGAAGGAGCTGGTCTTTGACTTCAGGAAGCGGAGTGGAGGGCACACCCCTCTCTGTATCAATGATGCTGAGGTGGAGATGGTCGAGAGCGTTAGGTTCCTGGGAGTGATGATCACTAACAATCTGTCCTGGTCCACCCACGTCAATGCGACAGTCAAGAAAGCACAACAACATCTCTACTTCCTCAGGAGGCTAAGGAAATTCAGCATGTCCACAAGGACTCTTACCAATTTTTATAGGTGTACCATACCTTAGGGCAGCACAGTGGCTCCGTGGTTAGCACTGTTGCCTCACAGCACCAGGGACCCGGGTTCAATTTAAGCCTCGGGCAACTGTCTGTGTGGAGTTTGCACATTCTCCCCATCTCTGTGTGGGTTTCCTTTGGGTGCTCTGGTTTCCTCCCACAGCCCAAAGATGTGCAGATTAGGTGGATTGACCACACTAAATTGCCCGTAGTGTTCAGGGATGTGTAGATTAGGTGGGTTATATGGGTATGGGACTGGGTGGGTTGCTCCAAGGGTCAGCGTGGACTTGTTGGGCCAAAGGGCCCGTTTCCACATTGTAGGGATTCTATGAAAAAAAAAGAAAACATCCTATCTGGATACATCTGGTATGGCAGTCTGCTCTTGCCAAGACCACAAGAAACTACAAAGAGTTGTGAACACAGCCCAGTCCAGCACGCAAACCAACCTTGCTTCCATTGACTCCATCTATACTTCCCGCTGCCTCTGGAAAGCAACCAACATAATCAAAGACCCTTCCCACTCCGGCTATGATCTCTTCCACCCTTTTCCACAGATAGGAGATACTGAAGTTTGATTACATGTATGAATAGATTTGAGAGCAACTTCATCCCTGCTGTTATCAAACTTTTGAATGGACCTCTCCAATGTTAATTCTCATCTCTCTTTCTGCACTTTCCCTGTATTCTGCTACCCTGATGCAGTTTGTATGGTACAGTCAGCCTCTAGAGCACACAAAGCAACACTTTTCACTGTATTACGGTACATGTGATAACGATAAATCAACCAATCAATCAATCACTAGCAGCATCTTTCCATTGCTGTTCCTCCTCTTCCAAGAAAGGCAGCCCATTGTAGGAAGCTGTTGTGTGTTGGCTGCGGAGGGAAGAGTAGGCACTCAACAAATGGTATAAAGGCTGCAGAAAAGGAAATACTGAGATAGAAATTTCAACCCTTCATCTTGAATTGAGGTACTATAAATTCTAATCCACATTTCTTTGCTGACTTGTAACTGTGGCTGCTGTTGGAAATGGACCTGTCAGTGTGAAAGAGGTGGAAATGACAGCAAATAGCTTTGTGGCAGTATCATGGCATAACCTCCTCATTTGCATGCACTTTGCCAAAAAATAAGCAGGTGTTCTAATGGCTGCAGGAAGTATTATGAGCTCGGGAGCCAACGTTACGAGATTGTTAAAGCATTCCACTTTCTGCTGCTGCCTCCTCATCAATCAGCTCTTAACAATATTCTAAGCATAAATCTATTTTTTCTTGCTTCTGGCTAAGCTGGATCCAGTCAATCAACTGTTAATAAAGCCAGTGCTCTCAAAACAGTCAAACCAACAAAACGTTTTGTGCTGTTTTACTTATGGAGCTCATTATATTTCAGTTTGAAAGTATTCATTAAGGTAACGATTGTGGTGTCATGTGGCTTTCATTAAACAGAATTAAAAATACAAATTGCATTTCATTGATCTCTCGTCCATTAACAAGAGCAAACAGTGAATGTGACCCTTACTTTTAGCATTTTGTTCAAAAGTATTTTGTTAAAAAATTATAGTCTGCTACAATCACATTCTAATTTGTTTTATTTTAGGCATTACTTGAAACTCAAAACCTCTTGCGCACCCAGGTTCCCAACTTTACCTTTAACCTTGGATATTCTGGAAAATTCTACCACACAGGTGAGACTATACAGCAAATAGCAACTCGACTCTCATTTTGTTGAAATATATTTGTTCCCAATTGAAACATCTTGCATTTACATAGTACAAGCTACGACACAGGACAAACTGGGGAGTAAAATAAATATTGATTAATTAGATAAAGATGTAGACATAAAGCCGTGGTTGAAGAGTTATGAAAAGTGACTGTGAATCTTTGGCAAAGAGCAATTCTAAGAAAATTTTGAAAGCTGCAGAGAGAGAAGTGGCACCATATGGGGAATTTGGGAAGATATTCCTTGAGAATTGGCAGAAATAGGTAAAAGCTTTCATAGCAGTTAAATGAAGGAGCAGTTGTGTGGTCAGGAGGTCTTAGGGAGGATATAAAGGGTGTATATGGTGAGTTGAGGAGTTTTAATGGAGAGAGAGAATGTGTCAGTGTCAGGCCGAAGAAAGGCAGGGTGACAAGGAGAGTGATAGGAGATGGAACGAGAAAAAGGAAGCGCGTTAGGTAGCTTCAGACAATTCCAGTGGCACTTTCCTCTAAGCTTTGGAGGTAAACATGGAGAGGCAGGGGCAAGGGGTCAGAGGACATTATTAATCATTGGTGAAGGGAGACCGAATTGTCACAATCTTAGTGAATGATGTGCAGGAAAAGATTGTTAGATCTGGTTAACCTAGGGATCACCAAATATGCCAAATCAATTCTGTGTATATGAGAGTCTGTAGTATCAACTAGACAAAATGGTTTGTGAATAGAGTGACAACAGGACCCTAGTGAGAGTGGATATTTTGTGTGCAATGTGAAGGTGGTGTTAAATGCTTTATGCAAACTGGAATACAAAAATGTAAATACTGGGATTAATTAATCCTATCTAAGGGATTTGTTTTAAACAAAATGATGGGACAACTGCACCAGAGTATATCTTTTCCCTTCAGTTATACATAGGTATACCTATAGCTGGAGTTGCCACTGTACCTTTAATGCATTCCCTCTGCATGAGGCTTATCACCATTGTTGGCTACATGCTGTGAGCTTGGCCTCCTGCAGTGCCTTGCCCAATAGCCACATACATCACTGCTTTTACAGTACTGGACAATTTCCTGCCTCAGACCACACATGCGACAAGACCTGTCACACTTCTGAACTCTGATTATATGATATTATACCATGTTGCAGGTGCCCCCAAAGCTCATAACAGTTGGCACCCTGCCATGATGCCATCCAATCTAGTAATTTGAATTGGCTGTATGCTTTCTTCTTCTCTAATATGTCTCTTTAGAAGGCTTGTGTTGGGGTGGGTGTGATGATTAGTTCCAAAATTCATTCCAACAATTAAATATGTAAGAAGCTGCACTCCTGACTTTTGTTCCAGCACCACGCTACAAACCAATTGAAGGACTCATCCTAACCTATAGACCTAGATGTTGATCTTTACTTCAAGTTAACCCTCCAGGAACGTCTTCCTAGGATCTTCTGGTCTTCAACCATAAATCCTGACATATTGATGTAGTGTGTTGCCCAGTGCGATCTTGATTTTTACAGTCTGTCTCTCTGGTTCATCTACCTCTCAACTCAGGAAATACAGATCCATCTGTTGGCAAAAGGGCTTGAGCTCATGCGCTGTGGCTACCAACTTTATAATGAGGATAGATTGAAGAAGTTGGGCCCGTTTCCCATTGATGACAGGAGGGCTGAGGGGAAAAGTAATCAAGCTTTCAACATCATTTGTGCCTGGACTGAGTGGATAGGGAAAAGATGTTCCCTCTCATAAAAGAAGAAGACAGCATAGATTTAAAGAGATGTGCAAACAGAGTACAGGTGATGTGAGAGAAAAAATCATTTTCACACTGTGTGTGGTTAGAATGTGCAATGCACTGCCTGCAGGCAGGTTCAATTAAGACATTCAAAAGGGCATTGAATCATCATTTGCATAGAAAAGGTGTTCGGGGATATGGGGAAAAGGGATCTAAGAGCCATTTTCTCAATGTTGTGGCTCCTTTAAAAGTTTTCAACAAACACTTTCCATCCACAAACACAGTACGTCGACAAGTTAGTCTCCCTTTTTTACAATTTGTGGGAGCCTCTAAGCAGGTTTATTTTATATATCATCAGGACCATGTGTTTTTCCAGCTATATTTTTTTCAGCACATAGCTGCTTCTCAAAAAGTAGTGAGCGGTATATAAGAATGATGAGCTGCAAGCATAAATTACCACATGGGATTATGATATAGTATCAATAATAGGGACCCACCTCAAAGAAGGTGGATTGGAATCTTAATATTCCTGGCTATGTGATATTCAGGAAACAAAAGGAAAGAAACTTCACAGTGTCACAGAATTGTTACAGCCCAGAAGGAAGCCGTTCACTCATTTGTTCATGCACCAGTTCTATTACATCATTATAATCTCCCACCTTTTCCTCGTATCCCTGAACACCATTTCAATGCAAATGATGATTCAATGCCCTTTTGAATGTCTTAATTGAACCTGCCTCCAGGCAGTGCATTTTACATTCTAACTACTCATTTTTTGAAAATGTTTCTTTTCTCTCACATCATCCTTGCTTTGTTTGCACATCCCTTTAAATCTATGCTGACTTGTTCTTTTCTGTTATGAGAGGGAACACCTTTTCCCTATCCACTCAGTGCAGGCACAAATGATGTTGAAAGCGTCATTAAATTTTCTCTCAGCCTTCTTTTATCAAAGGAGAGCAGGCCCAATTACTTCAATCTATCCTCATTATTAAAGTCAAATGACACACAAAGATAGGTGGAAGAACAGATGGTGTTAAGGAAGCAGAAGGCTGCAGAAGGACTTGGTCAGGCTGGGAGAGTGGGCAAAGAAGTGGCAGATGGGATACAATATGGGAAAGAGTGAGGCTCTGCACTTTGGTAGGAAGAATAAAGGTGCAGACTATTTTCTAAACAGGGAAAGACTTTGGAAATCTGTGGCACAAAGGTACTTGGGAGTCCTGGTTTGGTATTCTTTAAAAGTTAACACGCAGGATCAGTTGGCACTTAGAATGGCATTTGTAATGCGAGCATTCATTTCAAGAGGGCCCAAATACAAAAGCGGGGATGTAGTGCAAAGGCTGTATAAGGCTCTGGCCAGAATATATTTGAAATATTGTGAGCAGTTTTGTGTCTTGTATCTAAGAAAGAGATGTGCTGGCGTAGAAGGTATCCAGAAGGGTTTCACAAGAATGATGTCCAAGGATGGAGGGTTTGTCATATGAGGAGCGATTGAGGACTCTGGCTCTGTACAGAATGGAGTTTAGAAAGATGGGGGCGGGTTTGGGGGGTGGAGTGGGGGCTGCAAAATCTCATTGAATACTTGATACTGAGAAGCCTGGATAGAGTGGACTTGGAGAAGATGTATTCACTAGAAGGAGAGACTAGGACCCGAGGGCACCACCTCAGATTGAAGGGATGACCCTTTAGAACTAAAGTGAGGAGGAATTTCTTCAGTCAGAGGGTGGTAAATCTATGGAACTCATTGTTGCAGATGGCTGTGGAGGTCAATTCATTGAATGTATTAAGACGGCAATAGATAAGTTCTTGATTAGTAAGGGGATCAAGGTTTACAGGGAGAAGGCAGAAGAATGGGGTTGAGCAGACTCAATGGGCCAAATGACCTAATTCCGCCCCTATATCTCTCATTCTAAAATAGGAAGGAGCATGGCAATATCGATCAAAAGAATTATCCCAGCACTGGCAAGAGATGTTCATGGTTCAAGGACAAATCCAGTCAATTAGGCTTAAGGAACAGTGAGGCAGTTATTAATCTACAGGCTAAATAAAAACTAAAAGAATTGTGGATGCTGTAAATCAGGAACAAAAAAAAAGTTGCTGGAAAAGCTCAGCAGGTCTGGCAGCATCTGTGAAGGGAAAAATAGTTAACATTTCAGGTCCGGTGCCCTTCCTCAGAACCCATGTTACATTAATAATGAGGATAGATTAAAGTAATTGGGCCTGTTCTCTTTTGATAAAAGAAAGCTGAGAGGAAATTTAATGCCGTTTTCAACATCATTTGTGCCTGAACTGCGTGGTTCGGGAAAAGATGTTCCCTCTCATAAGAGAAAAGAACAAGACAGCACAGATTTAAAGAGATGTGAGAGAAATCTGAGGAGGGTCACTGGACCCGAAATGTTAACATTTTTTCCCTTCACAGCTGCTGCCAGACCTGTTGAGCTTTTCCAGCAACTTTTTTTTTTGTTCCTGATTAAACTACAGGCTGTTTGCTACAAGCCACCAAATTAGTGGGAAGAAGATGGAGAATCTAATTTGCGGACAAATTAAAATGTATGATAACTAGAGTGCATTGATAATGCAGGACATTGATTAATACCTTAAAGTCTGGAAAAGTAGCAATGAAAGGGGCGAAGAAGGTGAGGATGGCAAGAAGGAAAATTCCAAATGTGTTTATGTGAGCAATTTTGATCCGGATGTTTCCAGGAAGAAAGCATTGCTAGATATAGTTCCAGGGAATAAAGTGGGTAAAAATGAGCATGTTTCAATGGGGGTGCATTTGAAGAGCAGTGATCATAATACCATCAGGCTTAGAATAATTATGAGCAAGGGAAACCAACAAGTGTAAAATTGGGCTAACTGGCAGGGATAAACCTGGAAGATACAACGTAAGTCTGTCTGCATGAAAACATTTAGAAATAAGAAGCCAGAAAAGAAAATGTCATTTGGAGAAACAAGCATTTATCGATTGCATTCAGCATTAACTTGTTCAAGGCAAATCATTTTTGTCTAACTTGATTGATTCCTTTATTGAAATGACCGTGCTTATGAGGTTAGTGAAGTTGAGATTGTCCATATGGACTTACAAAAGCGTTTTTGTAAGAGTACGACATAAATAAACTTGTTAGCACCATTAAAACTGATGGGATTAAAGGGCAATGTTAACTTGGGTACAAAATTAGTTGAAGGAATGAGAGCAGAGAATGGTTCTTTCTCACGGAGGTATACAGCACAGAAACAAGACCCTTCAGCCCAACTTGTCCATGCTGACCAGACTGGAGCAAAGTCTTATAAAATCATAGAGATTTTACATCATGGAAAGAAACCTTTCAGCCCAATCATGTCCATGCTGTTCATCACTGAGCATTTCAAATGATCATCCAGATATTCCTTAAATGTCACGAGAGCTACCACTGCTATCAGCTTTTTAGGCAGAGAGTTCTGGATACCCACAACCCTTGGGTTAAAACGATTTTTTCTCAAATACTCTCTAAACCTCTTACTCCTTATCTTTAAGCTCTACTACCTGACAATTGATCCCTCCACTCAGGGCAACGTTTGTCCTTGCCTATGCTTCTCAGAACATTTTACATCTCAGTCAAATCTCCTCTCAGTCTTCTTTGCTCTGAGAAAAACAGGCCAAGCCCATCTAGTCTTTCTTCATAGCTGAAATCCTCCAGTCCAGACAACATTCTAGTGAATCCTTTCTGCACACTCTCTAGTGCAATCACATCTTTCCTATGGTGTGGCGAGCAGAACTGTTCTCCAGATATGGTCTAATTAATATTGTATACAACTCCGTCACAATGTCCTTGCTCTTTTATTCAATGTCTTGTCTGATAAAGCCAAGTGTCTTATACGCCTTTTTATCCACCTGTCCTGTTGCCTTCAAAGATCTGTGGACATATATTCCAAGGTCCCTCTGATTCTCTATATTCCTTAGGATCCCACCATTCAATGTGTACTTTCTTCCCTTGTTACACCTCCCAAAATGCATCACCTCAAACTTTTCAGGATTGAATTCCATTTTTCGTTGTTTAGCACGTCTGACTAGCCTATCTATGTTGTTCCTGTAGTTTAAGACATTATTTACCACATTACCAATTTTCATGTCATCTGTGAACTTAGTGACCATACCTCCTACATTCATGTCTAAATCATTAACATACACAACAAACAGCAAGGGAGCCAGCACCAAATACTGTGCTATGTCACTGGATGCCGGTTTCCAGCTACAAAAGCACCCTTTGACAATCACCTGCTGCTCCCTGCCACCAAACCAATTTTGAATTTAAGTTGCCAAATTGCCTTGAATTCCACAGGCTCTCAGCTTCTTAATCAATCTTCCATGCAAGATCTTGTCAAAAGCCTTACTCAAGTCCATGTAGACCAAATCAGCTGCACTACCCTTATCTACATATCTCGTCCCCTCCCCAAAAAGTTCAGTCAAATTGTATTAGGGATTAATGTTCTTTTTGATATGCATTCATGACTTGGACTTAGTCATGTGCAGGGGATAATTTCTAAGTTTGCAGATGATGTTAAACTCAGAAGTGGAAAAAGTAGTGAAGACTCCAGGAGGAAACGGACAGGTAAAATTAATGCAGAGAAGTGGGCAGAACGAGGATAAATAATACAAACAAAATGGAACATGTTGAAAGGGATGCAGGAAAACAAAGACTTGGCTACATTTGTAAATTAGATTTTGATAGCGACAAGAAAGACCATTCGGCATGGGAGGAGTAAGCTAGTCAACCCATTGTGTCTGCTCTGCCGTTCAGATAGATGATGGCTGATTTGATAGTCAACAGCTTCATTTCCTGCCTTTTCCCCATAACCCTTGATTCCCTTACTCGTTAAAAATGTTTATCTCAGCCGTGAATGTAATATAGAATATAATTAATGAGCCAGCCTCAACAGCCCTCTGCAGTAGGAAATTCCACAGATTCACTACCCATCTGAGAGAAGAAATCTCTCCTCATCTGTCTTAGCTGGCTGACCCCTTGCTCTAAGAGGGTTGGTGAAAAGGCATGTAGAATCCTTGGCATAGTAAAGGAAAATACTCAAGCAGAAGTACTTGGTACAAATCGTTTACGCAACTCTGGTTAGCCTTCAATTGTACTCAATTTCAGGGACTATAGGAAGGGAGGAGGAGGAGGGCTTTTGGACTTTAAAGGGAATTCAGAAGAGGTTTGCTTGAAAGGTGCAGGTAATGAAGGACTTCAGTCACAAAGAGAGATTTGAATCGGTAAAATTGTTCACCCTCGATGAATAGAAGGAGACTTGACATAGTTGGTCAAAATCATGAGGGATTTTGCTGGGAGAAGCAAAGAGAAACATGCAGCAGGAACAGTAAGTAGGGAACAAAAACAGAAATTGCTGGAAAAGCTGGGTGGGTCTGGCAGAATCTGTGGAGAGAAATCAGAGTTAACGTTTTGGGAACATGGGTTTAAGGTAATTTACAAATGAAGAAAAGGCAACATGTTCAAACTTTTTGCACAACAAACCTGTGTGAAACAATGTGCACTGCTTGAAAGAGTGGTGGATTTATGCTATAAAGTAATATTTAAAAGAAAGTTGAATAACTGCATGAAAGGAAAAATACAGACCTATGGGGAAAGAATGTGATTAATTGGATAGGTCTAGCAAAGAGCTGGCATGAGTTTGATGGACTAAATGGCCTTCTACATTGTGTTATGCGGTGATGCAATTATTGTCAATAGTTCCTTTAAAATTTGAATAGCTTGAGAACTGCATAGTAGATAAAACAAGATTCCCCACGCAATATGTCACTTGAGTACATTTCAGTTTTCATGTAATTCTTTTCAATCTGAAAATACTCTAGTAACAAGAGAAACTTGGTCAATTATATTTCATTCATATTTTTGTTGGTAATAGCTATTGCCAAATAAAATAATCTAACAGCTACTAATAACCATAACAGCTGCAATAAATTGTCAAATAAACAATGAATATAGAAATGTCTTAATCTGTTTTACAGAACATAATTGAATGGCATGATTATTACAGAAAGACAAGCAACACTTGTACATATGTGATATAAAACAAAATATTGCAGCCATGATATTCAGGCACCAGTAGCAGAGTGACCTTAAGAACAGAACAACGTAAGAAATTTGAACAAGAGTTAACCATCTGGCCCTTCAAGATGGTTTTGCTGTTCAGAGAGGACTTGGTTGACCTTCTTCTCAACTGTACTCTCCTGCCCATTTTCTATATCCCCTGTTATCGCAATCTGATTTTTCAAAAAAGAGATTTGTTTTCCTTAGGATGTGGATGTCACTGGCAAGGCCAATATTTTTTGCTCATTCCTAACCACCGTTGAGAAGGTATTAGTAAGCCACCTTCTTGAACCACTGCATTGCATCTGGTGCAGGTACACTCTCAGTACTTTTATGTATGAAATTCAAGAATTTGATTCGGTGACAATGAGGGAATGGTGCTATCATTTCAAGTCAGGATGACAAGTGACTTGGAGGGGAACTTGTAGGTGCTAATAGTCCCACGAGTCTGTTGCCCTTGTCTTCTAGGTGGTAGAGGTCGCAGGTTTGGAAGGTGCTGTCGAAGGAACCTTGGTGAGTTGCTGCGGTGCAGCTTGTTTATGGTACACGATTATGCCACTATGCAACAGTGGTAGAGTGAGTGAATGTTTAAGGTGGTGGATGAGTTTTGCAGCACTCTACTGCAGAATTTTTTTAAAAAAATTAACAACACTCTGAATGAAGATTTTTTTTTCTCACCTCTATACTAAATGATCAAACTCATATCCTGAGACTCATGTTTGCAATTTCCTGGCCAGCAGAAGTAACCACTCAGTGTCCATTTTGTCAAGCTCCTTTAGCATCTTGTATTTCAATGAGATCACCTCTTAATCTCCTAAATCCCAGAATAGGAGTCGAAATATTTTCTCCTCATGAGGTTTTTCTCAAGGGCTACATATTTATTTGAAAGGGGCTACTTTTTAATTCTCTTTGGCTCCTTCATTAGCTAATGCAGTCACATAGTAAGGTTGCCTGCTGCATTTATGTTGATGTCTGGGGCATTTGGACTCACACATGACCAGAATTAGAAGAATTCAACCATATCTTCAAAATTATCACTGTTCCATTAAACACAAAATCATAACATACATGGTTAATATTGATTGCAAGACAATATGGTATTTAAATTCACATGTGATAACCAGATGGCCTCTCAAGTCTGCACCAACCCTCCAAAGAGCATCCCACCCAGACCCAGTCCCCTGCCCTATCCCCATAACCCGGCCTTAACCATGGCTTAACCCATCTAGCCTACACATCCCTGGATGCAACGGGCAATTTTAGCATGGCCAATCCCCTTTACCTGCATATCTTTGGACTGTGGAAGAAAACCTGAGCACCTGGTGGAACCCCACACAGACATGGGGAGAATGTGCAAAATCTACACAGACATTCACCCAAGGCTGGAATCAAACCTTGGGTCCCTGGCAGTGTGAGGCAGCAGTGCTAGCCACTGAGCCACCATGTCAACCTATCTCAGATTGAGATAGACACCTTTTTCTCCCCAAATAACTGACACACACTCTAATGCAGAAAAAAACCATCACCATAAATGTGCTTACCACAGCTTGGAGAGTTCACTGCTAAGCAGTTGCATGTTTAACTCTGAGATAACAAGGTATAGAGCTGGATGAACACAGCAGGCCAAGCAGCATCATAGGAGCAGGAAGGCCGACGTTTCGGGCCTAGACCCTTCATCAGAAATGGGGGAGGGGAAGGGGGTTCTGAAATAAATAGGGAGAGAGGGGGTGGCGGATAGAAGATGGATAGAGGAGAAGATAGGTGGAGAGGAAACAGACCGGTCAAAGGGGCGGGGATGTAGCCAGTAAAGGTGAGTGTAGGTGGGGAGGTAAGGAGGGGATAGGTCAGTCCAGGGAGGACAGACAGGTCAAGGGGGCGGGATGAGGTTAGTAGGCAGGAAATGGGGGTGCGGTTTGAGGTGGGAGGAGGGGATAGGTGGGAGGAAGAACAGATTAGGGAGGCGGGGACGAGCTGGGCTGGTTTTGGGATGCGGTAGAGGGAGGGGAGATTTTGAAGCTTGTGAAATCCACATTGATACCATTGGGCTGCAGAGTTCCCAAGCGGAATATGAATTGCTGTTCCTGCAACCTTCGGGTGGCACCATTGTGGCACTGCAGGAGGCCCAGGATGGACATGTTATCTGAGGAA